GGGGGGGGGGAGGGGAAATGGAGCTATAGAAAAAAACACAACAAAAATGCTTATTTATTGTGTTTAAATACAACAGTTTAAAAACCCAGCTTGCTGTATTGCTACAGCTGTCATGAGACGCTCATCTACCACTTCAAAAGAGAGCAGCCTAAATGCTTCGAAACTCTCTTGTGATCCAATTGAAAAAAAGCCTTCAAACCACTTTCTTTGAGGGAAATCAAAGCCTGGTGAGACCACTCTGAGAATGGGACAGATGTCAACGAATTGTAAAGGGGATTACATTTGGAGCTATGACATTGGCTTTTCTTGCTGGAAAAATAAGGCCTGAGGATCACATCTGTATGATCGATATTGCTCGGAGGCAACCTTTGCAGTATTTATAAGCCTATAACAGTGTATTCTCTCTCATGATCCTGTAGGTTGGCTGGGCTCAGCTAGGTAGTTTTCTCTGCTCCTTGTGGTCTCTCCTCAGCTTGCTCCTGTGGATTCATCTAGCAGGTGGCTGGGCAAGACTGGAAGGTCCTAGAAGGTCTCTCTCACCCATGTGAGGCCTTAGTGCTGATTGTGGGCTGGGGTGCCCCTTCCCACAACAGGAGAGCCAGAACTTCCCTATAGCATGGCAGTTAGAGTCTAAGAGGAAACATTCCAGGGGGACAGGACCCAATGGGCAAATGCTTATCAAATCCTTGCTTGCCTCTTGTTAATGCCCCACTGGTCATAGCAAGTCACATGGCCAAGCCGAGTCAACACGGGAAGGGATCACGCAGGGATGAGAGTTCTGGGAAACATGGCTGGCGATCACCCATGTCACAGTCTTCCACTCCCTGCTGTATAGCAGCGCAACAGACTCATTTAGAGAACCCGGTGAGAATGCTCCTAATGGTGAGGTTCACGGCCGAGGGTCTTCACGCAGAGCAGCAGAAGAAATTTGAAGGCTGAAGGTGTTTCCATTGCCACTGTCCATGGGGTCCATCTGTGGTCATTCTGGGCCATCAAAAGCCATGATTCTCGGGGGGCAGGGTCTGATTTAGAAAGTTCAAGTGAACTGCCAATGCCTTGTGTTTCATCAGTTTGGGAGCACAGAAGTCTGCTGTGGTGGAGAGTGACAAACCTACTGTTGAGGTCACATCTCAGATACTCAGGACAGAATCTAGTTCTGTCATTGCACAGTGTTGGTGCTGTTGTAGCTGTCAGTAGCCTGGCCAAACCCCTTGTTGACTAGGAAAATGGGGCCTCTCTGCAGGGACTGAGGTTTTGGGGGTTGGGGCATCTTTCCTGGTTCATCTGTCAGTTGTCATCCTTACCTCCCAAGGAAGTCCCCTACACTCAGTTATTTTTAATTTACAGCTGTATCTTCTTCCCCTTTCCTTTATTCTAACATGCTCTGCTCTTACTGATTTAATGTCTGCATTCTGATGGCCTCTCAGCTCTGGGAATAGAGAAATCATGTGTTTTCCTCATCACCATATCTCCAGAGCCATGGATGTTGAAACTGAACATCGAAAACTGCTTTCCCTTCTTCCCTTCCACCACCTCTCCCTTCCCCTGAACCACCTTTTACCTTTGAAACCAACTAAGAAGCAGGACAGTGACCTCCATCACTCTGTCCCTCTGACCAAGGCCCCAGGTGAGATCTCTGTTGTCAGGACCAGTGGCCACAGGCTGTGGCGCTCAGCACGAATGATGGGACCCTTGCCCTCTGCCAGCCTCCTGTAACACAGATGTCAGCCAGGCCCTAGCTCCCTGTCCTTGGATGGTCACATGACACCGCTCAAACTTCCATCCCCTGGGTAGCAGGGCCCCCAGCCAAGTTCCCAGTCTCAGTGGGGATTCGTGAAAGGCAGACATGTCGCCAGGTCACTCTGACTGGGATTTTGTTCCAGTGAATCCTGGATCTTTCTCTCATCTTGCATATTTCAGCTGCTCCCTTCTCGCTATCCCGTATCTACCCAGAGAGGCTCAGCTCCCCTACCTGACTTCTCCTGAACAGCACTCATTCAAAGCCATTACCTTTCTTATTAAAGATGCAGGGTGGTAAGTGTGGGGGTTACATCAGAGAAGAGCACAGCAGATAAAACAGACTGTCAGACATGACATTAGTCTTAAAGTCTCTGGTATCCCCTCTCCTGGGGCCCCATCCCTAACTGGGCATGTTCACTGGTCTTTTCTTCTTTTCACTCCAGACTCAACTTCTTCCTGGGTCTCTTTGCTCCCCTTCACCTCCCTCCTCCTCACCTTCCTTACACCTCAACTACTCCTCCTCCCAAAATAATCCTGCCTTCTTCCTTCTTCTCTTCCTCATCCTCCTCTTCTTTTTCTTCCTCTTCTAGTTCAAAGAGCAGTCCTTTTTATCTTTTGAAGGTTTTTTTTCAACTTTGTTGAGGCATAATTGAAGAACACTAAACTGCGCATATTTAAAGGGTTCAATTCTCTGTTTTGACATGCACACACTCCTGAAAACATGACCTCTTCAACAACATTTCCATCACCCCCCCCCCCAGTTTCCTTATGCCCTTTCATCCACTCCTTCATCCATCACAACCCCAAGCAAGTGCTGATCTGCTTTCTCTGCATATAGATTAGCTTGTATTTTCTAGAGTTTTGTATAAATGGAATCAAGCAATATGTTCTCTCATTTTTTTGCCTGGCTTCTTTCGTTCAGTATCATGATTTCGAGATTCTTCAATAATGTGTGTATTAATAGTTTGTCCTTATTGCTGGGTAGTATTACATCATATGCATATACCACTAATTGTTTATCTACTCATCTACTGGTGGATTTGGGTTGTTTCTGGTTTTTGGCTTTAACAAAGCTCCTAGAACATTCATGTACAAGTCTCTGGGTTTCGTGCTCTCATGTCTCTTTGGTAAAAACCTAAGAGTGGAGTGGTTGGGTCATATGGTAGATGAGTGTTTAACTTTTTAGGAAACTGCCAGACTGATTTCCAAAGTGGTTAGACTGTCTCACACTCCTACCATCAACGTATGAGTTTCAATTGCTCTATATCCTCATCAACATTTGGTATGGCCAGTCATTTTAAATTTGATCATGTTGTTGTGGTTTTGTTTGTTTCAATGCACAGAGGTTTTGCCAGCTCTTGGATTCATTTCTACCAAGGGGGCACATACGTTTAGATGAACCAGGTTAACATATGCTTAGATTAACCAGGTTAGGCCTGCTGTGCCAGTGATGTTATAGTGTCCCTTTTACCCTGTAAAGTGTCCTGGTTTGTGTAAGAAAATATGTGATTTCTCTACTTCTATTCCAACTGGTCATGCCCCCAGGCTGTCTGTCCACAGCCACAAAGGCTCATCAAGGCATTCTGCTCAACAAAGACTTTCCTCCTCTCCAAGGGATTTTTGTGCTTTGCCTGAACATTTTTTCTCGTATCGCAACAGGATCACAGGAGGAAATGAGTGGCATGATGTAGTTTAGTACTGGAGTTGCGGGGTGGGGATAGAAGGAGGGAGTCAGACCAGGTCCTGATGGCATCATTTGAGCTGGATGCAGCCATGCTTGACATAAACTCCATTCCTTAACTTTTGCACACAACAACACGGACACCCCTCTTTTTTTGTTGTTTTTTGTTTACGCTAGTGTAACTTGGATATCTGTCACTTGCAGTTAAGTCCTGACTAGTATGCACAGTAGGGGAATGTGCCTCAGAAAGGCAATAGCATTTTGTCATGCTTTGGCTGCCTCTCATTTCACATCTGGAGTACTTTCTGCCTTCCCTAAGAGTTACTGTTTTTGCTGACCTAGCCCTGGGAATTTAAAGCAGGAGCATTGGTCACACTGGTTGGGGGATGAAACTTCAGAGGACACTAAATGTCCAGGGTCAAAGTATTCAAAACTATCACCTCATGGTTTGTTTAATCGAATACTCTAGCTACGTGTATCCACTGTAATTCAGCAGGCTCTTTAATCTTTAACTAAATTGTCATTTAGTGGTATGATCCAAAAACTGTTTTGAATTTTGGTAAGCAATCTCCATTTCCAACTAGCATTTTCAGTCTCCTTAATGATTAGATTTAATACTTAGAGAAACATATCGCTATTTACTCAGAGCGCTATACATTCAAACAAGCAACCCTATTAAGTGACGTCTTCGAACACATCTCTAAATAATCTGTGGGGCATGCCCTCTCCTAGCAGCACGGTGCGTTACTAACATTGTTTGAGGACATCTCTCTGTGAGCAGTGCAAAGGTAATTCTCCAGTGGAAGAAAAGAGGAGGTGGAAAGTGGGGAGCAGAAGTTAAAAAGATCCCATTCAGCTCCCCCCGCCCCCCGGGAACGTTCTCAGCTTGAATGCATGAATGCAGAACTGAGCGAGGCCCCTGACATGCAGGGTCTCCTTCGCCACAAGGAGTGCCCAGATCCTGCCCCACGCCCCAAAGATGATGTAAACTCAGGCTGGTGGCCTGGTAGTGTTTGCGTCTTGGGCGCCCCTCTCTTCTTTGGGGCTCTTCTTGCCGTAAAGCAGCTTGGCAGGTCTCGCCTCGGGCAAGACTAAACACCCTCCATCCCGCATATCCAACCCTGGGTCTCTGGTAGCAACCTCCACTCAGGAGCTGCAGGACCCAGGGCAACCTCGGTGTGACCCGCCGCTGCCGCCGGAGCATCCGCCCCGCCCATTCGGTCCCTAAATCCCGCCTCCGCGTCCCCGGGGCCCACTCCCTCCCGCCGTGGCCCCGCCCCTGCGCTCCCGCATTCCATCTCCACCCCCACGCGCTCTGTCCGCCCCCGCGCAGCAGGGCCCCGCCTCTCACACTCCCCGGCTCTGCACTCCACCCTCTCGCGTTCTGGCCCCGCCCCCGCACTCCAGGGCCCCGCCCCCGCACTCCAGGGCCCCGCCCCCGCACTCCAGGGCCCCGCCCCAGCGCTCTCGGGTTCCGCTCTCTCGGGCTCAGGTCTGGCGCTCGGGCCCCGCCCCCACGTTCCCTCTGGAGTCCCGGGGGGAGTTGCCGCGCGGGGGGAGGCGTGGCCGTGGTGCCGGCGGAGGCGCGGGCGGCGCGGCCAGGACTTTGGCTTTGACACGGACGGCGAGCTGGAGCCGTGGCTCTGGTGCTGGGCACCGACGCGGTCCTGGCGGATCCCGCGTCCGAGTCGGGCGCAGGACTTTTCGCCTCGATCAACGCAACTGCGGCGACGCCGCAAGTCCTGGTGCAGCCTCAAGACTTGGTGCAGCCACGGCGGCCGGATTTCGCCGCCGCTGCCACCTCCGCGCAGCCCTGCAGCTCCTGCCGGCTCTGGGAGAGCGACTCTGAGAGTTTCTCCCGCAGAAAGAGCCGGGACGCGCGGCCCGAGGAGGCCCAGCCACTGACCCGCACACGCGCGGGCACCAGGATTGGAGGCGGGGGGCCCGCGCAGTCCTGGGTTGGGCTCAGGCTTCCGAGCCGCAGGTGGAAGGACGCCCCGGGGGAGCAGCGGCGAGGTGGGGCGCGGGGACCGGCGGCGGGTCTGGTGGGGGTCGATAAAACCGCTTCTCGGTACCTGCCCTAGTAAGGGCGGGATTCCCAAGTTGCAGGTAGTGCTGACTGTCAGGAGGCGGGGTGGGCGTGGGAGATGCTCTCTCCCTTCTGCCCGGGCCCAGGTGGGGGCGACCTAAGGGGGGATGGCCTCATGGCTGCGAGAGGTGAGAGAGGCAGAGACCAGAGATGTGGGCTGATGAGGATAGGTCTCTTTGCAAGAGAAGCAGCTCATAGCCTTTTTGGACCCTAGCGTGACAAAACCCACATCTCTCCGGAGGAAAATCCATATGGGCCAGCCTCGTGCGTGTTCAGGAGTTCACCGACGGGCCATCAGCCTGGGACTCCTGGTTAAAACTCCTGCTCTAGTTAGGGAGTGCCAATGCAAACTGATTAACTGATTCAATCGATTTGTGTGCTTATTAATTTGTTTTCCAGGTGGCCAAGTGAAAGGTACTTTTGGACACCCTGGGCATGGAGATTTAGCGTTTGTCTTTGGTAACCGTTTCATTCCCTGCATCCCGAACCTTCCCTCCATCTGTGCCAGTAAGGTTGTTGGGCTTCCTCCCTAGCCAGAGAGTTCTTCTGTGGGGGTGAGGCCTTCCCGGGCCACGGACCCTGGCCGGCATGGGGAGCACGCTGGGCTGCCACCGCTCCATACCGCGGGACCCCTCGGACCTGTCCCATAACCGCAAGTTCAGCGCTGCCTGCAACTTCAGCAACATCCTGGTGAATCAGGAGCGGCTCAACATCAACACGGCCACCGAGGAGGAGCTGATGACCCTGCCTGGGGTGACGCGTGCAGTGGCACGCAGCATCGTGGAGTACCGCGAGTACATCGGTGGCTTCAAAAAGGTGGAGGACCTGGCACTGGTCAGCGGCGTGGGTGCCACCAAACTGGAGCAGGTCAAGTTTGAGATCTGCGTGGGCAGCAAGGGCAGCTCTGCGCAGCACTCTCCCAGCTCCCTGCGGCGAGACTTGCTGGCGGAGCAGCAGCCTCACCACCTTGCCACGGCCGTGCCCCTCACCCCGCGTGTCAACATCAACACGGCCACCCCGGCTCAGCTGATGAGCGTTCGAGGCCTCACGGAGAAGATGGCTGTCAGCATTGTGGACTACCGCCGCGAGCATGGGCCCTTCCGCAGCGTGGAGGACCTAGTGAGGATGGGTGGTATCAGTGCTGCCTTCCTCGACAGGATCCGGCACCAGCTGTTTGCAGAGAGGTCCAGGCCCCCGTCTACCCACACCAACGGAGGCCTGACCTTCACCGCCAAGCCTCACCCCAGCCCTACCTCACTAAGCCTGCAGAGTGAGGACCTAGACCTGCCACCAGGGGGGCCCACCCAGATCATCTCCACCCGCCCTTCCGTGGAGGCCTTCGGAGGCACGAGGGATGGGCGGCCAGTGCTGAGGCTGGCCACTTGGAACCTGCAGGGCTGCTCAGTGGAGAAGGCCAACAACCCTGGGGTGCGAGAAGTGGTGTGCATGACGCTCTTGGAAAACAGGTGAGGGCGGGAACCCCCGGGGGCCTGGGGTGTGAAGGCACTTCTTGCATGGCCTCATCTGTGCATGCAAATGAGTGGACTTTTTTGGGGGGGGGGTAGGGAGAGGGCAAGATTATCCAATCAGTGTTCTTGAGGCCCCAGCCGATACTGTCACCTGTGGCTGAGCTCTCGTGCTCTAGAATGTTCTGAATACAGCCATTTGGGCTTATGGCCCATATCTTGAACGTGGTATATCTGAGGTCAGTTCATAATTTTGGGGTTAAGTGGAGATTACGTTGGTGTTACTGCTTTGGAGAACGTTGTTTGACTCAGAAGACTTCGTGGGGTTTATACCAGATCAGGCGCTCAGAGGCCTGGGAACTATTGCACAGTTTTGCATATGAGAAGGAGCTAGTTGGATTTTTTTTTTTTTTTTTAAATGAGAGGGAGAGTGACATTTGTCTCACCAAATATGCCCATTTGTGTGCACAAAATCATCTGAAAGGCCAATTATTTGCAAACACTATACACTGTGTATATTCACCAAAATGCTGTGAATGAATCACTCCTCATTCTTTTTCCTTATTTAGCCTGAAGTTGGTGTTCAGGCCCACAACTGCAGCCCCAGATGTATGTAACCTCTCTTGTCCCGTAGCCAGGAAAGGTCAGGCTGACATGTGGTGAATATTGGCCCGATTTTCCCATTTGAACCCCAGGGGAAGAGACTTGTAGGAAGGGCTCTTACCCCAGCATGTTTACATTATTCACAACACCGCTCTCTGTAGGAACTTCCGTTAACTGCCCCCCCCCCCCATAAAACAAAACGATATGATTGTAGCAGTAACTCCTGCTGTTAGTAAAATAGTGTAGTGTATCATGTAATCAGCTTTGGGAAGGAAAGAAATGTTTTTAGTGGTCTCCTCTCCGTCAGAAATCCTCTGATCCTGGTCTTGAGGGATCGTGCCCTGCCACCCGCCGGACATGTAGTATGTTTGTGGCCACCAGCTACTTTTCCTTTGCACTGGCTTGTCAGCGAGCCTGGCAGGGCAACAGTTCAGTGACATGAAGTGCATCCTCAGCGGGCAGTCGCTGTGCATTGTGGCAGCGCATCAGGATAAATGAGTGAGGAGGAAACCAGGTCACACCATTTCCCTGGCACCGTCCCTGTGGCACTGTCATCCCAGGACCGAGGGATCATGCAGCAGGGCAGAGAACTGGACCGGGAGAGCTCCTGAGCACTCCTCCTGCATGGCTGTGTCCTCCGTTTTGCACTGTATGTAGCTCACTCCTTTTGCAAAATCACCTTGTACACAGGTGAGAACTAGACTCAGCGCTGGGTGGTATTTATCAGGAACGGGTTGATAATTGTTCTCCTCATCCATTAGCAGCAGAGGTGTGTGTATGGGAAAGGCAGGGGGGCGGGAGAGGGAGGGATGGCTGTTTAATTCCTATCCTGAGTTTTCTTGAGGCTCTGTTTGGGAGGTGAAGGGGGATGAATCAGGATCTGGAGTTGCCCCAGGGAGAATGACAGACCGGGCAGCTCTTGCCCATTTACCGGGACAGTGATTTTTCAAGTATGGTGTCTGGACCAGCATCAGCGTCAGCTACTGACTCAGAAACCCTGGGTTTCTGTGTTTTCACACACCCTCTGGGTGGTTGCAATACACACTGAAGTTTGAGCCCCATTGTACTATCTGCTGGGCAATCAGCTGTCCCTGTGGTTTGCTCTGTAAGGCCCCTCCTCCCGCGCTGGCTTTTCTGACAAGGTCTGTGAATCCACGCAGATCTTTCCAGGTACTATGTTTTCTTCGATCGTTCTGGTCATCCCTGCAGTTGTTTGACCTCACGATGCTCTTTCTGGCCAGAGTTTGAGGGACTTATTCCACTTCTAGAACAGGTGAATGTGACGGGTAGGAAATGGGAGAGAGAGCAGGGGCCGGTTGGCCTCAGAGTGGGCTCTACTCTGCAGTGTAGACTTGGGTCAGCCAAGGGCGCACTGAGGAGAGCACTAGCAACTCTCGTCCAGCATGGAGTTAGGATTTGTCCTGGTATTTTCCTCTTTGGATTTCCTGGAGGGACGGTGATTTGTTGAAGACATTTAATGGCTGTGCTAGAAGAACTTATCCAGACCTGGTAGGATGGGGAAGGAGACACCTGTAAGTAACCAGGAAGGTGACCTATATCTCCAGCACGTTTCTCACACTTGGCTACCTATGTTGTCCTGTGGCATAGTGGTTTCTTTTGCCTGTTCACAATGTGTTCAGAGTGTTCTGGGCACTCCTAGCATCTTATTAGTGTCCGGTCAACATACAGTAATAGGCTTAGGGCTTGATCCCCTGTAGAGCTGGAGTGGATCCATGTTTGTGTGACTGTCCCAGGACACCCAAACATGGCTGCCTGTTCCTGAGTGGGTCACATGTCCTCAGAACAGCAGTGCACATTCCCCAAGAGCTGTGTGTTCATCCTGATTCACAAAAATCTCTTGCATTCCAATTGATCCCTTTATTAGTAAGAGGAAATGCGTGTAGTTTGAGCAAGAATGGATGCTGGTAATTTTCTAGGTGGTTCTTATTTTCCTACATGTGTATACATAATACAGGTCTTCTTGGTATTTTCTGATACTTCCATATTCATTTGGTTTCCCCATTAACTTGGGAAGTAGGTAATGCTTGTTTTTTATTAATGATTCTCCATCTCTGGGAGAGGAGACCAACACCAAAGAAGTGAAGTGACTTGCATCCGTCCCATAGCTCATTAGTGACCCAGCTGGGACGAGGACTCAGACTTTCTCACTTTAGTCCAGTGCTCTTTGCAGGCACGCTGTGTTTTGTAACTACCTTCACCCTCCCTCTTGCTGAGGCATCGCACCCTCTGCCCAGTCAAGGGCACTTGCCAATTTGTGTGCTAGTCACATTTTAAGAAAAGAAATCCATTGTAAAGGCATTAAAAAAAAACAAAAACAAAAAACCTTGGCTCCACCTTTTCCGTATAAAATCGGTGAAATTCCTTAACCTTTCCAAGTCTCAGTTTTTCCATCTGTTAAATGTAACTAGTGAAAGAAAAAAAAAAAAACCTTGAAAAAACGAAAAAAGAAAAAAAAGAAATAACTTCTTTTGTAAAGGGAATAGCTAGCGGCTCTTCATTTTCCTTTCCGTGGGTTTGCTTTATAGGTACGTTTTCTTCAACTAAAGGGTGCTGGGGTGGGATCCTCAGGGTTAGAGTCCTTTCTTGCCCTGAGAGGCTGCTGCTGGGTGGATGAGCATGTATGAGCTACGAGAAGCCGAGTTTTGCGTGAAGACTGAGGCAGGACAGCAGAAAACTCGCTAATCATACAATGACCAGGCGCCCTCAAGGACATCACCCTGTGGCACAGAGCTGACGGTTTTCATCGGATTCCTTTGCCAAATCTCAGTCTTAGGCAATGTTTCTCCTTGTTCAGTGTTTATGAGGCAAAACAAAAAGAGGAATGCTTCTGCTAAACATCCTTGCAAAATTTGGTAACAGCCTACATATGGAATGAAGATTAATTTTTAATTTTTGCTTTTTGCTGAGTTGCTGTTCTATTTTGAAAAGTCCCTTTGGTTTATGGAAGCATAAGCCCCGGAGGAGCTGACTTTGACCATCTCCAAAAAAATAAGGAGGTTTAATATCCCACTTGCACGTTTCCCCATGGCCTCTATCAGAAGGGAACCTGTCAAAGTCTTCCGCCTTGTAATGCTCTAAATCTGTTTTCTTGCCACATGTCTGTCTGCGGTACCAAAGCACAACGTGAATTAGTACTGATTGTGAGAAATGGGATTTTGGTTGATCAGACTTGATTAGTAGGATCCATGTGGACACAAGCCATCGTGTCGTTTGATTCATTCATTGAAAACTATGTATGGAGTAGCTGCTGGGTACATGCATATGCTAAATGCACGAGCCAGCTTGGCCTGTTATTTAACTTGAGTTAAGTAAATATGAATCAGCGTGGGTGGCTCAGTCTCAGAATAGTCTGAGAAATCCAGATTTTTTTGGGGGGGGGGGAGTCACTGAGTGTGACTGATTTCAAGTTGCATTTTTCCCCTCCGAATAATGAGCTTATCCTGGGTGATTGAAAGGTGGGTAGATGCAGCCAGACATAACATCTGAGGCAAAATGGCCAGAATCTTCTTAAAGCAGAAATAACTGAGGGGCGCCTTGGTGGCTCAGTCGTTAAGCGTCTGCCTTTGGCTCAGGTCACGATCCCAGGGTCCTGGGATCGAGCCCCGCATCGGGCTCCCTGCTCGGCGGGAAGCCTGCTTCTCCCTCTCCCACTCCTCCTTCTTGTGTTCCCTTTCTAGCTGTGTCTCTCTGTCAGATAAATAAATAAAATCTTAAAAAAAAAAATTTAAAAAAAAAAAAGAAAGAACTGAAAACTGTGGAAACTGAGGCTCAGAGTGATGAAATAGCATCTGTGTGGCCTTCAGAAATGTGGATTGGGGTCAGGCTTTGTCTGATTTTAGGGCAGGGAGTGGAAGTGTCTCTTCCCAAACACCGTGCCCTTTGACTGACCCTTGGCCCACCTGCTGTTTCCTCCCTGTCTTGGACCTTAGGGTGGCCAGGCACCAGGGCTTCACCTAGACTCCTAGGGCTCAGTCAGGCTCCCTTCCTGTTTTTGTTACTCCGAAGGACAGGGCTGATGGCCAGAGGTGGAGCCATCCAGAGGGCGTCAGGGCCTCTCTACCCGACCCCTCAAATGTGAGTCTGTGACCTTGGCTCAGCTTCAAGGTAGAGTTCCGGTTTTGTGAGCCAAGGCGTTCTGGGTGGTTTCCAGAGGGAAAGGTGGTCGGTAATAAGACTGCTGTTGGTTAGTAAGAGGAGATAGTGTGACTAAAGGGAAGTCCTGGTGTGTGCACGAGGCAGGCTTTGTTTTACCACAGGGAGAGATGTTAGTTTGTCGTATAAGATGGCCCCATTTGGGATCTGATTTGGGAGGTTTGATGGTATTGCTTCTCCCAGGGGATATTCACTTCTCTATTACTATTCCTTCAACAGATACT